AAACCATGTGGCGAAAGCAGGTATTTCAGCGCCCGGCTAGCTCAGTCGGTAGAGCATGGGACTCTTAATCCCAGGGTCGTGGGTTCGAGCCCCACGTTGGGCGGTTAGTTTTTGCGCCTTTCCACCACTTTTGAAGTGCTCTAAGGGGGGCAGAACGCCGCCTCAGCCCCGCCACCTCGGCGGCTGTGAGGGGAACTCACCCCCTCTCTGGAGGGATCAGAGGGACTCTTGAAGGAAACGAGCCCAGCGCAGCCAAAAGGGGGGTGATTTTGGCAGTGATTGTGATTGTGATTGTATGGCTACAACAAACCTGAACATTTTTTGTAAATTACCTGGATGCAGGAACTGAATGTGTGTTACTGAACTAGGAGGAGCTGTGGGGTTCCTGGAGGGCAGAGAGGCCTTGCAGAGGTGGGGACAGCCTGGGCAGCCGAGCCATTGCCAGCCAGGTGAACTCGAACACAAGCGTGTGCGGTCACCCCCACAGCCCAGCTCCCACAGCAGGCAGGCTGTGACAGGCCAAACACCTGAATATGCCAAAATGTTCCTCCTGTCAGCTCGGCTGGAGCTGTTTCCTCCGCTAACATCAACCTTCAGGAACAGCATCCTGTCCGGAATCGGGAACTGCAGAGGAAAAACCTCCCATCACCGCAGGGTTTGTGTCTGTGGCTGTCTCTCCTGATAAAACGCTTGGGTTCACTGAGAATTTGCTGTGAGGATCCGCGGATCCCTGCTGTGAGAGGGAGGGAAGAGCTACAATGCTTAGGCTGAAACAAAAATAAGCCAAATCCCTTTCTACACCGTAACACATTTAAGGTGTGATCTCCCTGGGGGTCTCCAGGGCTAGTCGTTCTGAAAAGCAGGTAACAGTCTTTCCTCACCCCTTCGATGCAATCAGAATGCTGTTGCTGTCCTTAGTGGGTCACTGGGTTTTGCGTTTACACCTGTCAGCAGCACAGGAGTTAGGATTTCTGGTCACAGTGTGAAACAGCGGCTGGTGAAGCCGTTCAGCGATGCAGAAACCCCACAGGAGAAGAGGGAAGTGGACAGAACACACCAGTCCGGTGAAAGGTCCCGGAGTATGAGCACACAGCAGTACAGAAATACCCCCAAGAAGGGAAGGGCTGAGAATACTCTGCATTTCCTCAGCTGCAGTCTGCTGCAGTTCAGGAAAATGACATCATTGCACCACCACGAACACAGGCTCCGTAGGAGTTTAATCTCCCCTGCGCATCCTTCCTACTTACAGACATGAGTAATCCCTCACAGCTCCATGGGGCTCTTGCCGACAGCAAACTCTGCTTCCAGGAGCAAGCCTTGGTAGGCTCTGGCTGAGTTCTTACGGAGGCAAGGCACAATCTGGGTCATGGAGCTGCATCCCAATTACTCACATCATTATAAAGGAAAATGAAGAGCAGAGCTCGGTTCTGTGTGTTCTTTACCCAGACCTAAGGATGGCTCTCTGCACCTTGTGATGAAATAGCATCTATTTAGCAAGCCTGTAATTGCATCACAGACTGGGAACAAGTTAGGAACAGGGGTGTAGCAGGCTGGTCTCCAAAAACTGCATTTTTATCCATTTTGCTTTTTCTAAGCATAACTGCTTCAATCATACATACTTTCTGAAGTCACTCAGAAACCTACTGATGTTCCCAATCCATACCAAAGACTGCTCCGGATGGGTTAACCTTATGCACTAAGCATTTGACTCCATAGCTCCTCCCTTCTTCAGTCCTGGAAGAAGAAGCAGAGCTCACCCGCAGGTTTTCTTGCCAGAAGCAGCTGGGTCCTCCAGTCTCCGCCTGGCCCCACAGGTATTACGCCTTGGAAGAAAGGCTATGGCAGAGCCATGCAGCTGAGCCACGTTCCGCATAGCGGGGCTTACAGAAGCAAGCAAGCAAGAGAAGATCTCCAAGACGTAAAAGAATGGTAAATATCAGACACAATGGGAATACAGGTATCTAGCTATGGTGTTTAATCCATTTTTCCAAGGCCAGGCCTGACAGATAGAACACAACACAGTACATTTTGAAGAACTTGTTCTGTGTCACAGGAACACCATTCTCATCCTCAGGCTGCTGCAGAAAAACTCTTGTGCACGGTAACTCCAACATGTTTGACGAGGAAACCCAGAAAGCGTTTGGACTGGAGACTCTCACATCAGTGCAAAGAGGCGCCAGCCAGGCCCCATTGTGCTTTGAAGACTAAGAAATTATCTCTAGAAGATCAACCTTGTCCCAAGACTATAAAACAACCAGTAACAGCTGCTCACAGCTATGCCTATTTTTCTATGCTTTATGAGTAACAGCCACACAGCTCATTTGAAGTGGGAAGGCAATTTAAAAATACACCTGCCAACACCACTGGAGAGAAATCTGTGTCAATACTATCAGACCACTGTTACCAACCAGCAAAGCCTTGCCTATGACAGACTCTAACACTTTAAGCAGTGATTCCTGGGTTTTGCGGGGTTTTTTTCTTATTTGGAAACTCTTAAGATAAAAAGGAGTATCTTCTACCATGTGCCAACTCACACCATATGTTAAGGTAAAGCCTCTATGAAACCGAATGACAAAGTCATGCAGAAGCTTACTTAAATGCCATAGCACACTGCCCTGTGCTGTTTCACCACACAAACATTTCTTTAAATATATGCTTCACTTGAAGAAACACACTTCAGGAACCACAGCGAGCAGTTAGCAGACAGAACAGGGAAATCAGACACCAAAAGCACGGTTGTGGCAATAAAAGACTCCAGCATCCCTGCCCCCAAATAATTTTATATTTAAGCATATCCCCAAGTTTGAGTTAAACAATTACTCCTCAGTAGGATCTGAACCTCAGTAATCAGCAGGTACCAGCAGGGTCACCATTCAGTCAGCAGGTCAAGTTCGGCACGTTGACAGCAAGTTTAACAGCATTTGACGCCGGGGAGACGCCTCTACCAAGACGCGATGCTGCTGAGATGCAGTGTCCCCCAGGAGCCACATCTCTCCGTGCAAAGGTAATTCCCAGCAGTACTATGGAAGGATAGTGAGAATCATGACAAACCAAACCCAGCAGCACTACCAGCAGAATGGAAGCGTACGTGTTTGATTTCCCACGGGAGTGCTCCTTCTCCTTCAATATGTGAAGTTACAGCATTGCTAGGAGCTTATTAACTAGCCAACAGTTCCTAAGTATAGGGTTAATATCCAAGGTACATTTTTTTTTCTTAAGCAACAACCTTCATGTTGCATTTTCATTTAATACATATTGCTACAGGACAATGACGTTTAATGTTTCCGATGGGAGGCAGGAAGGCAAAGAAGTGACTTCTGAACTTGACATTTCAACAAGAGACTCAAGATTTCCTCACACCTCTGTTTGTCATTCTTACATGGTTGAATTCTTTCTTGGAGGAGAGATTCTGAAAGAGTTGTGAGCTCAGCACTATTTGAGAACTACAGGCAGACAGTTCTCTGCTAAAACCTTCAAAGCAGGACTGTGTCCCAGGAAAATACCGCTCCAGCACCTTTGCTAAACAGCCCCAAGTTATTTCCTCACATGTGATTCAAGAGTAGAATATTTTAATACAGAATGTGGCAGAAAAGCTTCCATACATGTTTCCCATATCAGACTGCCCTTCATTCTTCTAAGCATATCTAAAATCAAAATATCTTAAAACAAATTCTCTCAACAATGTCATTTACTGTACATATAAATAACAAACAACTCAGAAGGCTACAACTCATAACGGTACAGAATTTCTTCAGAAGAGGACAAAACAGCATAGTAGTTGCCAGAGTTAAATTTTTAAACTATAACATGACGTGGTTTTAAATACTGTTAGTGCCTACCACCATGCCTCCCCAAGACATCCACATTGTTCATATTTCATAGTGTTACACACAAATTACTTGATTAAAAAAAAAAAAAGCCAATGCACATATATCTGAAAGAGATGAGGACAATCCTTGTGTAGCATTTAGGTGCTTATTTCTCAGTAGAAAAAGCCCTCTTCATCAATGGTGGGGGTGCTTTTCCAACATCAAACATCATTTCCAGCGGAGGATTATTAAGACAACACCAGTCAGGTATGCGGCCTGTCTGGCTGTAATATTCTTTGGACACAGACCGGCTCCCAAGTATGTCCTGAAGTGCTCCAAAAATGGCTCCTACATCATTGGGAAAAAAAAGCAAAAACGTTGCATTAATTTGATGTACTGAATTTCTTCTTCTTCTTCTTCCCATCAAGAATCTCAACTATTCTTTTTCAGCTCTGTCCCCAAAATTAAAGCAATGAAAGGATCTAGCCACTGTTCAGTAGCCCAGCTAGTCCCAAACTGCTGCCATTTATGTCCCTTGAAAGTACGTGAAAACAAAGAATCATCTAGTCTCTGCTGAGCCTAGCCGACCTGCTTCTTATGACAAAGTTTCCTAAAAGTTTCGATTTTTAAAAACTTCAAACAAACCACCCTGTGTTTAAGGAAATTTCCTCTCCCCAAAAGGGTGTCACACAATACCCGTAAGAAGTTTACACAAGCTGTGAGAAGATTCAGAGCAAAGCAGCTGGCTAGCACTGCCAGCGAAGAAAAGTACCAGACAACTCCATGCATATAAACCCTAAAAGTAGACTGAAAAAGTTTTAAAGCTAAAATTTCCTAAACATTTACATATCAAAGCACATGGAAATAAAGATCTACCTTTACAGCTAAAGTTAGTTCCTCATACATACCAGATGGGCTCAGCTTATTAACTGAAAGCTTAGAAAAGCATTAATTCTTATCAACCTCAGAACCTTCCTTAGAAGAGTTGGTAGTGACAGAAAGCTCTTCTTCTTCCCCTAACAGCAACCAATCCAGCAGAGTTGCTGTATTTGTTGTTGGCACTTGGGAACAGCACAGGGAGCTAGCAGCCTCCGGCCTCTCCGTAGCTCACAGCTCCTCAGTCAGTAATTATATTTGTTTTTTCAATAATCAGCTCTTCCCACACGCAGCAGGTCCCTGCGCTGCTTCATCACTTTACTGGTGCCACCATATGGCAGGAGCCCTGCACTGCACTGGAGCCAACACCTCAAATTCCACACCGCGGTTTCAGATTGATTGTCACCCATGTAAAGCACCCACAATCTGCAGTGCCACTCTGCCCTCCAAATGGCCCTGAGGGAGCTTTACTGCACAAGACTTCTTCCAGGAGGGCATCACAATTCCACAAAGCTCCAATGCAGCTTAATTTCAACAGTTTGCTTAAGTTTTCCTGCTACTTATTCATTACAAATCCCACTTGGAAGGTTTGTTTCTCCACTTTGTACCTTTGTTTAACAGCCGCTTTCATTCTTACCTCCCAGCCAGGCCACACAGTTGGGTTTGGCAGGTGGAGTGTGAATTCTGAAGGTTTTTGTGGCAAGCACCTCTTTGTATTTCGGTTTCTCTACCAGGTATCTGATTTCAGCCATGAGCCTGTGAAGGAATCCTGGCAACATAGCGGTGCCACCGATAACTACCAAGTTCTCTGCCAGCTGCTTCCTGGTGTCTATTGGACACTAATGCAAACAGGAACAAAAAAACCCACAAAACTTTAGCTTCAGCTACATGAACAAGCATTCAAAGGTCTGTTAGAAACTCAGTCGGTCAGAGAGGGAAAACTGTTACATATGAGATTGACTCTTTTTAGTCCCATGCAGGAGAAAGGTGCTACAAAAGTCTCAGCAGCAGAAAAGGTTTCTGCTGGAGCTTGCCTTATGCATCAGACAACCCAACTAGAAGGCATAAAGGCAGGAGAAAACCAAGCTATGTCAGCCTGCCCCTCACAAGCAGAGCTGTGCTATCCCTTTGAAAAAAAATTCCAGATTGCTGTGGTCCTCTTGTCCAGCAGAAGCAAGTGGATGCTGTTTAACACTTGTAAATTTAACGTTTGTCTTTCCTCTGGCTAATGAGTGATGCAAGGTAAATGCCTAGAGGTACAGAGGTGGCGGATCCAGGCACAGATCTTGTTAAACAATTTGTTTTCATAAGGAATTCTAACTGAAATGTTTGTCATGTCATCCAAGCCTATGGCTCTCCAATAAATTACGTCTCAGCAAACTAATTTAAATGGCATCAATAACTACAAAAAGTCAACTTTAATTAACATAGATACACCACCACATAATGAAAATTTCCATTTATAGTGGTTTTCTAATGCATTTTTTTCCTAAATATAAGAAATGAAGTGTTTGTGTATGCCAAGAAAATTTTCCATCATATATCTAACATACTGCCTGTAATAGAGATGTCCAAATGAATTCTATCTTAGGTAGAGATCAGCAGTCTGCAGGATGCACAAAGTCTAACTCTGAGCAAAACACCTTGAGAAAAGAAACAGAATACTTCTGTTATTTCAGTTTAAGCTGTTAACACCAAGTATTGGCTACTCCTTCATCATTACGTATGGAGAGCCTCACCCTGAAACAAATACAAGCCAGTTTATTACTTTTGCTGAGAGGTGAGTACTACCTTTCTTAGAAAACTCTCCTGGACACACTGCAGTACCCACCAAAGAGTAAGAAAACTGTCACAGAGTGGATGACACATGGTGACTTGCTACCCCACAGGCATTTGTCATGTGGGAGAACCTTAGGAGTCATGCTGTGCTGAACTTTTTAAACCAAACAAAACCTGCAGTCAGAAGGGTGTTACTCTGGGAAGAGTCATTTATAACAGCAGGTTCTCTAAGGCTGGAGCCATTCAATAAATTGTTTATGATGTAAAGATACCTGAATGAGTGAATCTAAGATCAAAGTGGCAACAGATGTCTCTTCATTATCCTGTTCAAACAGTATTTCCACAACGGAGTCTCTGTTGAAAAGACAGGAAATGAGTGTTCATGAAAAGCGATACTACACTGTGAGCTAACACTCAGGAACAGCAGGGCTGGCAATAACTACGGACTTCCTGCTGACAACACATCATCACCCTTCTTCTGTCATACAGTCCACGCACCAGGCGGTGCCAACGGGGAGGAGACAATGCCCTGTTCACTTCACTAAACCTGTTTCATCACCCTGCAGTAATACTCCATTTCTGTTTCCCCCATCCCTCCGATCTGTTTGCTCTCATCCTGATGTGAGCTCTCTGGGGAAGCAGACACCTCTTATTACGGGCTTGCACCGTGCCCAGCACAGAGCCTTAATTTAAGAGACATAAAAAGCATATGCAAGTGTTTCACTAAAATTCAATTTTATGAAAATGTATGTGCTTTTAGAGTCGAAAATATATCCTCCTAAAGATAAATATTCAACTACGGAATTTCTTACCTGATGGGGCCAACTACATGGAGAATCTTTTCTCCATCTAAAGGATAATCCACGTCTGGAGGCAGTGAAGGACGCTAGAAATAAAAACATACATGTGTTATTTTAGAGGCCAAAAAGGCTACATCCACTTCAAAGTCTAGGATAAGCTTCACTCTCCACCCACCTCAGCACTTCCATCAATGTTGAACTTGGCTGCTTGGATTTTCAGCCCACGTTGGAGATCACTCACAAAACAAGTGCGGACTTCATAAAATAAAAGGAAGGGGCAGAAGAGAGACACTGTTGGATCCTTTTATCATCAATACAGACAATAATTTTGCTTAATTTAGAGAAGAATACTTGAGGCCCTTGCTGGTCCAAGACATTATCAAATAAATACAAAGAAAACGATCTCTACACTACAGCAGAGTTCAGATGCCATCTAGACCATGAGTTAAATGAAGCTGACACTGAAACAATGCTAGGACAGGCAAGATTTCTCGCAGCCAAGCTACGTAAGATTTACAGACAGAGGGAGGATCGTGCTTTCGGTTACCACAAGGTGGCAGGGGTTGTGCTCTGCTGTTGCACACACCACTGCGGGTCTGGCATCACGGCTTCAAATAAGACATTGTTCATTTTTCAAACAAGCTGTAATCATGCAGTATTTTTCCTAGTGCAACTCTTCAGCAACCTAAGAACTCCAGAGGGTTTTTTTCTCCAGGCAACACTGACAGAGCACAGTTTCATTTGTATTCCAGCTGATAGTGTCACTTGTGCCAGATACAAATAAATACATAAGGAGAATCCTTTTCACAAATGTCTGTCCCAAAGAAACAACTTTCAATACACAGGCAATCTTCATTTCAACCCTAGCGTATTATATCTGATTCTAAAAGACTGCATGAAAACCAGAACTGTTCAGAAAATCATGTTCAACTCCAGGAATTAGAAAAGCACCTTCCATTTGACAAAGCACCAGCTGCACTGACGTTGTCTTGCCTTGGACTGATGGACTTCTTCCTAATTTGGCCCAAGAGATATATACTAGTTGCTATTTCCTACAATTATATATATTTTCATATCTGTTGCACATGAAACATTACATAACAATACATCCCATCCAAGCTCCACCCAAAGATACACTTTATTTTTTCTGGTGTAAATGTAGTCCTTGACGCATCTTTCCTACCTGATTAACACACCAAAATGTCTTTTATACGTTTGTTTGGTTTTTTTCAAAGTTGACTTTAAGGCAAACTGAGCCTTCTTAGTTAACTTATAAACAAAATTAACTTAAAATATTCTCATGTCATGATGTTAAGACTGCTTAAATTCTGCATGTGCAACCAAAATGTATCTACAATAACAGGCTTTGAACATCAGATCTGCTAAGTCTAAGTCCCATGTAAAATACACACTGTACATCTTCACTCACAGCAAACAAAACGTCAGTAGTTAAAAATGCAAGACCAAGATAACTTGATGTGCTGATCACAGGATATTTACAATAGCGTAACACTCTTACTGCGCTACATTACCAAACATATCTACAAACTACGTCTTGACAATGCAAAGGCTAAACTTGAAAGAGGAATTCAGTGTGGTTTTGGTTTTGCTTTCAAAGAGGAAGAACACTGCAAATTCTTCCAGTAGGTAAGGAATATGAGAAACTGAGAAGATAAAATAAATTCCTAAAGTACAGCACACTTGTTATTATCATACTCTCCACTGCACAATTTAATAAATGAGAGTCTCATGAACCAGAAAATTTTACCTTTTATATCCTCTACTATGTCTTCTGGAACTGAGCCTGAAATAAAAAAATGACTTAGAACAAAAGCTTTGTAAGCAGAAAGAGAATTTAAAAATGAAACTAAGTTTGAATTACATTTAGTACATTAAAGTTTCACCCTAACAGCAGCTTTTAAAGACTTATAAGAAAGAAAGAATATTAAGAAGAGAAAAAAAACCTTTTGTCTTCTCTCAAAACAGACTGAAAAATTACTACAGAAATTTTATCTTGGCCTTTACTCAAACCTACTGTTATGAGTGGCTCATCATAAAAATAATACACTTGTTGAATACTGAGAAAGAAATCATGAAAGTAGAACACAGAAGATGCGGTGAATACTAACCTCATTTTATTCACTGTTAGTATTAATCTACTTTCCCCAGTGCAAGTTCACAGCACACGTGCTACATCAAACAGATCTTACCCATCACAGATGGAAGGCTTTGTCCTTTGGCTAATCCTGTATCAACTGTGCACTGCTCCAACAACTGATATTCCAGCTCCCTAAAATATCACACAGTGAGTTAGTCAGAGACAGCTATTAACTCACGCTAATTCTCTATATTATGCTTCAGAGACAGCACTTATTCTCTTCAGTTACATTCTTCTAAATATAAACTGAAGCAGCTCTGATTTCCACAGCTTTTACTACACCAGCAAAAGACAGAATATATAACTGTGAACTTACTTGTGGATAGCCTTTCCTCCCAAAGGAAGAGAACCCCAGCAGCTCAGAATCGGAATTCCCTCATATATCTACACGAAGATCAGGAAATTTTCCTTTCTTGTTATGAGTTTTCAGTCTGTTGGAACTAAATGTTTTTTTCTCCTCAACATTCTCTTGGAAACACTTGCTAACTGCCTTTCTTGAAAACTAATTTCTAATATATAAAGGCTGAAGTTACGAACCACCCCTCCCAAGTTTTGAGGGAACACTGATTTAGCACGTCAGCTGTGAAGAGATTCCGCAAGTCATGATATCTTATAGTCAAAAGCCAGGCTGGCTGATCTGTTCCTATTACTTTTTAGCACACTTGAAGCCCATAAAAATGTCATTTTGTCACGACAGCCTGATTGCTGAAAATTTTGTTTGTGTATTATTAAAGGATACAGGCAGCACCAAGCTTTCTGCGTATCCACAGTCTAGCACCATGGCAGAATTGATCCCAAGTGTCAGCAGAGACATCAGGTGACTCGGAGCAAACAAAACGGAAGGTACCTACATGGAAACCAAAATGACAACTGACAGAAGCGGGGAAAAGGATCAAACCACCCAAAGCACTGATGCTTTCCCCCAATGTCATATTAAAAGCAAAACCCAAACAACTGTGACTTTGAAGTATCCATTTTTCATTTAGTTTTTAAGGTAGTGTAGCAATGAACAAAAGACAACAGACTAAATTCTACGTTCATCTATGTTCACCTACAACTTCTGTAATAATGAATCTCGGAACCAGCTTGTAAGAAAAGCGAGCTTTAACTATAGAACTCATCTTAAGACATAGGTCAGGTTTCTTATTGTCACTGTCATGGAAAAGAAATTAAAGAAACTAAACCACAGCTACTTGAAATGTTGCATAAAGACTTGAAGGTGTGAACAAAGGTGCCAGAAAACCCACCAAAGTGTGCCTTGTGACACCACACTGTTGCACACAACCTCACAGCAATCAATGGCTATTTAACACTTTCCCCAAAGCAGTGTGGAAACTTGAGTCAAAATTACACGAGAATTATTTCCTTCTCCCAGAACTCCATAAATCAAGTTTCCTAAATAGCAACAGTTCCTTTAATGGAACACCTTGTAGTGTGAATTAAATGAGCAAGTTCAATAAATCCTGCATTTAAGGGCAACAACACTGAGACCAGAGACACAAGTTATAATATTGACCCTGTGTTAATATGCCATTCTTATTCTTTGCACCAAATGGAAATACTAGCCAGCCAGAATTAACCTCACATCGGTATTAGCTGGCTTCTTAATAAGTTACAAAGTCTCTCCATCAAAATATGACTTTCCAAGTCATGAGTCATTTTCAACAACCAATTTTGCATGTAAGTGCTTTATCTGAGACACATTTTTTTCCTGTGAGACCAGGAAAAAAACCCAAACAAATCACTCAAATCTTTCAGCAATTTCAAGTCATCAGAAAAAAATTATCAATAGTAGGAAAGAATTACGCAGAACTTTAAGATTAGGTGGTAAACTGTGCTGTGGAAGCACAATGAGGAAGTACTGCAGACAAATTAGTTTCACCACTTTTTACAGAAGATCCTTAACCTTTATTCTATCTGAATTGAAGAAGTATGGATTTACCTTCCAAAACATTTTCCCTTAGAACTAAGCAAGAATTAGGTTCAGACTTTTCTTCAAAAAGACTGATTAAGCAGAGCAGATAATAAATTTCAGGTAAGCTCTTATCTAAATGAGCACAGCCAGAGGTTAGATCACATGCTAGGCAAAGATATTGACTCTGGCAGAAGTCATGAGATTTGCTGACAGAGCACTAACAAGTGTTTAAATATAAATTCTGGCTTCACGCAGTGCTCAACGGGGATTATTGGATCTGTCTGGAACAGTGCGATATGAGCTCTATTTTCACACAATCCAGAGAAACCTTTCAGATTCTCATTAATAGCTCCTGTTTTGTGGCCTCATGAAGAGTCATAATGGAACAAAAATTGCCTTTAGCCCCATCTCCAAGCCCAACTTCGCCAGGTGACCATCAGCTTTTTTTCATCTTCTTTCTGCCTCTCTCATTCCTTTGGCATTATTTTCATTTCTTTGTCCACATCTGGTAGTGGTTCTAAGTAAAATTTCTACTGGCAAGTGCTGTGCCAAGCACATAGAGTAGTTATGTAAAACAAGTACCTCAAAGTGCTTGAAAAGGACCCTTGTGAGCGTGTCTCTGAAGTGGGAAGGGCACAAGACAGATTCTATGATCACAACACGGCGGTCTCTGGGATTCACCAGCAGATGTCTAAAAAAGCAAGATGTGTAAAACAGAACTGGTAAGTTTAAGCACGTATGATGAGACCTACCTTATTTTCATATTCCATTCTCCTCAAAAATCCTAAAAATTTGCATTTAGATAACATTTTCTACAGCAGATCCCCAAATCTTTGTCACAAATTTAAAAAAAAAAAAAAAACAAAAAAAAAAAACAAAAAAACAAACCCCAACGTATTCCTAAAAGAAAGTTAGGAAATTGGGTTACAGAAAACAAGTTCTAGAGCAGGCTGTAGTTCTGAATATCTGTTATACACTTCTGAATCAATATAAAGAAACGCAAATCCAGGCATGCACAATAGCCATTAAAGACTTGTCCAGTGTCACACACAGTGTCCATAAAAGAGGAAGAATGATGATACAGATCTCCTGATTTCACTGGAAGAGGATGGAATTGTCCTGATTTCAAAGAGATGATTGAGGACAGGAAAAAAAACCCAACAACCCACACCAGAAGATCTGAAGCACAGAAATGAAGTATTTGTTTCCCTGTGTCAAGGGATGATTTTTACTGTGTAAAAATAAGGATTGGAAATAAAAATAAGTCCAAGTTCATTATTCACTACTGCTACTAAAAATACAAGAAAAAGATGTACTACAAATATTCCACAGGTTAAGATTCCTCCTTCCAAACCACTGTCATGTGGAGAGAGTTCTGCACTGATATGAGCTTCAACCCTACCAAAACGAGCACCACTCCTTCGGTAATGACTTTCCCATCAAGTCCTTTATGAGTGCCACAGTTAAAAGGCAACTGACCAAACCCTTTTTATTTCTAGAGAGCAACTGAAGCTGCAGGACACTAACTGTAATATAACCTGAATCTCAGCACCACTGAATTTCTCCTGCAAGAGCACAGCCAGGCGGCCATCTGCAAAATTTTGTTTCCATTTTCTTACTCAACTAGACAGCAGTCTCCAGTCACACTTCAATGTACTCATAAAAGAGCCGCAGAAGGTTGGATAACTAACATCCACGTATCTCTTACCTGAAGTACAGCATATGGATAAATTCCTTCAGATACGAATATAGCTCTTCTGTATTAATATTATACTGAACAACTTTGATGGGCTGTAAAGTAAAAATATCCAGGGTCAGCTTAAATAATAGGCAGTGATTATACATAAAGAAATATATATATGATAACATATTATATCTGAACATATATAACCTAACATATAAAAATAAATACTCCTGCCTGATTTTTCTCTATGTCCTTAACAATGCATCTCATAAACTCATCCTATAGCTAAATTCCAGAGTTATTAATGTTAATTTCTCATACTGGTAACTTATCTCAACATTAGTTTTCCAAAGCTGCCATCCTCTACTGAAAAAAAAAAACCAAAAAACATAGCTAAACAAAGCAATTTCTCAATAAATGCCCCAGACATAAGCTGCATGGCTGATGAGTGCCAATTAACATCAGTGTTGGTATCACACTTACTTGTATCTAGTTACAATCTTTTAATAGCAGTAGCTATAAGATAAGGAAAAATAGATTATGATGGACAGAAAATGTATCTGCAGATTCTTTCTATACCATAAAATACAAAACATTGTAAAGGTAAAACAGTTCAGATAAAAGAGTTTACCTTTGCGACATTGGGTTTCTTTATTTCACTAGGAATAATGCATCTTGGTCCTGTTTCTCCTGCAAAACCACACCTAAAATAAAGTGTTGAAAACCTTATTATTTCAAGTCACTATGTAACATGCTGGGCCTAGGAAACCTCAAAAGAGTAATTAATTAGGGATATTTAGGGATACTTCTGTGACTGCAAAGAGGTGTTTTGCATGTAGCTTTTCTATCTAGCCATTTTTAATGGGAAAGATTTAATATCTTTTTATTGATTCCTTCTCAGCTGCATTAAACAAGGTTTTTTCACTTCTGTAAGGACTGCAGTGCTTGACTCTGATGTGCCTCCTACCTTCCACTGAGTTTTCTGTTTACAGCCATCCACCTGCAGCCTTCCTTACTGCCTCCTGCATTCCAAAAAAAATCCCTCCCTGCATCCTCCATGTGCACTCACCACTTTACTGAAACTCTCAGCAAACACAGGCAAGATTACACTATCACATCCTCTTTAAATCCTCATTTTCTGTGATATTTATTTAGAAGAAACAAAAGTCTTAATGACCACGATCATGGTGTTCCTCTGGCCTATTTCACTGCTGACCAGCACCATTCCATTTACACTTTTTTCCCTATTTCCAGCTTGCTTAATACTTTGAGATGCATTCCCTTCAAAAGCAGCCTGGATGATTTAAGGTGTTACTGCCTCAAGATGACTGGTTACTACTCCAGGATTCCTGACAAAACATGAGAGTTCTGCATCCAATTTAGATACAACATAATAAAAAAATCATAGCAACCCCAAACCAAACTTTTGAGAAACCCATCAGGTTTTCATAAAGCGATTACACCTTAAAAGACACAAGAACAATAGACCGAAGAAGGTAAATTAAAACCAAAAGAAATTCAAGATCTGATGTTAAGAAACTCGGTGCTTGATATTTCTTTCACCACTGCCACCTCCATTAAGTACAAAAATCAGAAGAAAACTATGGTAGAAAACACTTGTAGAAAACTATAAGGCTGCTGAACTTTTAATGCAAAAGGTGAATTAATACTTTATTTTGATATTTGGCAACTGTCAACATGTTTCTTCAGATAATTTTGGGAAAAAATATTAAAATAGACATAATCCAGATTTTGACTTTTTTCTTTGGTCTCCCAAAGACTTGTGCGGTCCAAGCACGTACACAGAGTTGTCTTTGCCTGTCATCCTGACAACTTTTGAATTTTTGGTTAATTTCAGCCTTGCTTGGAAAAGGACAAATATATCTCATACAATTAAGTTGCCATCTCTTCTACAAGAATGAAGGTTGGAAACAGACCCTAAAAACACACTATTCAGGAAAAATGCTTTCGCATAAAAGCATTTTATCAGACAAATAATGCCCATGGGATAAAACCACACAAGGGCCCCAAATTTGGGAAAAGCTTATGATCGGTGACATGACATGAATTCACAAGAAGCCACTCATGGAATCACTCATTTCCATCTGTGAAGGTTTTGTTAAATCCTCTCCAAAACCACACTGCAGTGATTTTCAGGTAAAGAAGCCTGCCCACTAGTCTGCAATTACACAGTCACCTAAAAAAAAAGCAAGTACAATTTAATACAAATTAAGTTTGGACAAGAAACCCTGTTCCTGCAACTCCTGCCTGTTTAGACAAGCAGAGACATAGAATCATAGAATGGTTTGGGTTGGGACCTGAAAGATCATCGAGTTCCACCCCCCTGCCATGGGCAGGGACACCTCCCACCAGCCCAGGTTGCTCAAAGCCTCATCCAGCCTGGCCTTGACCCCCTCCAGGGATGGGGCATCCACAGCTTCTCTGGGCACCCTGGGCCACTGTCTCACTACCCACACAGGAAAACATTTTTTCCTAATATCTCATCCAAATCTCCCCTCTTTTCAGCTTAAAACCGTTCCCCCTCGTCCTATCACTACACTCTGATAAAGCCTCAGGGCTCCAAGCAGGGAAACACACCCACAGACACAGGCCTGGCCTAATAAGAGCGACACATATGTGGAAAAGTGCTTTTGTTGCAAGATATTTCTTTTTTCCATGCGCATGCCGCCTTTCCAAACAGGCCACTGAAGCCCAGGGCACATCTCCAGAGTGTTTTATCCTCGGACACGGGGCTGGATTGACGGGGCCGGGTTTGCTGACCCAGCGCCTTTCCAGGAGGGCTGCGCGGAGCCGGGACACGAGCTGGGGGGGACCTGGGGGGTGTCTGACACGGGGCGGGCTGGGCAGGGCTACATTCCTGCCCCACGATACAAATTACTGAACACTGAGCATCCGAAATTAAAAAATAAAGCCGTTATTATCGGCTTCCTACCAC